ATACTTTTGGGAAAATTTCTAGGTATACGTATGTATTGGATATTTTTAAATAATTAACTCCTTTTAAAAGTCAAATAAGTAACAGTTTTGCTTATTCATTGATTTGTTGCTTGTTCTAATAATTGCTGGTGAGCTTATTTGTGTGATGGAAGAAAGCCCAGCTGGTAAGACCACCAAATTACATTTTGTTTTCTTTTCTTAAACTCAGTCTGTCTGATGTTCTAACTTGGAAGGCAACATGCTTTTAAGAAGATAATTTATATATTTATTCTATCACTAGTTGAAGAGACACAGAGAAGCTTCTGACACACATGTTTTTCCCATATATCCAGGACTTGGACTTGGTGCTATTTAAATAATTGTTCATCTTGTGCTTAGGACATTTCCTGTGGCTTTGGTTCATTGAATGGAATAATGTAAAATTAGAGTTTTAAATTATCCCCGGAAGCCTGCAATTAGCAGGCATTCTCAAGAAAACTAAGCAAATAGAGTAAATCATTACTTCCTATGCATTTTGTTCATTTTTCTTAAATTTCATGTCATAAAAAGCCCATAAATCATTTTATTATTGTATCTTAGCTCCAGTTTGAATCCACTAAGTTATCACTAATTATTTAAAATATGCTTAATCAAATTTCAGTAATAATATGTAATGTGTTATGCATTATCAAAAATTCTGACATTAATCAAAAGGAAACTATTTGTTCCTGCTGGTGATTTGTACAGAAAACCGTCCTAATATTCTGGACATTCAAAAGGTTGGACAAGATAAAGTTAAACCTTTTCCTTTTAAGTCATAATAGAAATAGCTGAGCCAAACATCTGAGCCAGACTTACCTAAAGATAATTTATGATATAGAAGAAGTTAGAAATAAAAGTGTGTATTTGCTGTTTCTGGTTAATAATTGGATCTATTCTAAGTTCTTAAAAAAAGAAGATGTTCTTAAAATCATAATAAATTCACTTTCCCACATTCTTTTTTTCAGAATTTAAAGTCTGGAGTGGGAGATATTCTAAAGTGCTCATGCATTTTAAACGCTTAGTGTTATAAAATATCATAAAATAGCTTGTGAGCTTCACCAGAGAACTTACTATGAGCCTCCTCTAGATCCTAACACAGTGCCTGGCTCATAGTGATATTCCATACCACTCCATTGGCTAAACTGCTTAGTGCTTCCTTCACAGAAGTCTTCCTGGGTGTTCTGTCCTATACTCCAAGAGCTATTCATTTCTGACATACATATGTTGCATTCTATTGTACTGTGGAGTTTCTCCATTCATCTGTGTATATATTGGGAGGACTGGGAGGAAGCTTATTTCCATGAATAAATTGTAATGCCATTAGGCATAATAGTCATATGTAATTTAGTTAGCTAACACATGAACTTTATATAATTCCCCAGCATATGTCATTAAGCATCTTTCTCCCAGTGAAAAAAAACAGAATGAAATATTTGCTCTGGTGGTACCTAATACCCTTTTTCCATGCTGTTTTCCATTCTGATGTTACTTTTCTGCCTTGGTATCTCTATCAAATGCTCTATTCTCCAGCCTATTAACAGAAAAATGATTTCTCATCACTCAATTATCCTTAGATATAAATTGGTTTTCCAGGTATTTGAAGTTAATCTTTTAGTCATTATTGGGAATGAAAATCACACATTCTTCTGTGGGGATTTCTGGTTAAAGTAATGCAGGGGACAGACATAAAAGGTAAAAAGCATTTATTTATATCCTATTTTGGAGTAGGCCAGTGGGCCTCATGCTAGCATGAGGTCACACTCACCCATTAAGATAATTAGATAAATAGATGCTACACCTCCTCCACCACCCTGAGCTCCACATAAACACATACATGCAAACTCTTGAGCAAACTTAAAATCTTCAGAGATGTCCCTAAACATCTGCACATTAGGAAAAAAATCACAATGATGCACTCTGATTGTTGAGATTTATTTTATTAGACCATTTTATATGGTATTTCATTTGATCTCAACCTATGGGGAAAGTACTATTACCCCACTTTACAGATGAGAAAATTGAGGCTTAGAGGAGCTATGTACCTTGCTCAAGGCCACTAGACTATTTTCCAGAGAGCTAGAATTTGATTCCAGATCACTAGGGCTTTAAACCCATTTCCATTTCAATATCATTACCACTAAAATCTGATGCCACTGAAACACTGATCCTACAAGTAATGCTGGAGAAGTTGGCTAATGCCAGTGTGGGTCTATTAGGGTGCCGGAAGAAAGAGAAGGCATATCCAGTTGGGTAATTTGAGAAAAGTTAAAAATTGACAGTTTACAACAGAGTGGTAGTACCCTCATGACAATTACAGTGGACATGGTGAACACTGTAGGCCTGAAGATGTGAGCCTCTGTTTAACAGACTATGGAAAGAGAGGTTCCAGAAGGAGGGAGGGAGAGGGAGAGAGGACAGAGCTGCCAGACAGGGCTATGCCTCTTGGTCCAGGAATACAGTGAGATCCTGAAATCCTGGGGGCGGGATGGGATGAGGGCACGGTCTTGCTAGTCTTTATCATTAGCTGAATTCAGCTGAAAGCCAGAAGACAAGGGAGCCTAAGGACATAGTTGTGCCCATCAGCCACTAAGGAGAAAGGAATGTTGAGAATGGATCTGGCTTAGTAAGCAAAGAGTGTTAATCAGTACATCTTCTCTGCCCCATCCCTCAGACTCACCCCCATTCTCTCTTACCCTAAGTGAAAATGGCAGAGACTTTAAAAAAAAAAAAAAAATAGCTGTTAGGTTTTGTGCTCCTTAATCCATGGTTGTAATATTTTTGAAATGTATTGGTGTGCTTTCTTAGAGTTTTACTGTATTGTGAACAAGGGAAGTATGAAATATTAGTTAAGACCTTCCCTCAAACAGGTACATCTTCTTTAAAGTTTTGAGAATTTTTTTTATTTGTTTGTTTTTGGTTATGTCAATTCAGATACAGTTTACATAACAAAAGGCACCCATTTTAGTTACACAATTCTATCAATTTTCACAAATGTATACTGTCTTAGAGCTAACACTACAGTCAAGATATAGAATATTTCCATCATTCCAAAAAGTTCCAAAGTATTTTTTAATCTTTAATCCTACCCAAGTCAAACTTCATCCTTTTAAATATTTGGTATCCTCTTTTGCTTCTTCTTATTGTAAATAGGAAAATTGGTAATATTGCCCAATAGAATGTTGCAGATAGTAGATGTTTTTATGGCAAGTACTTTTTTAATAAAAGTTGATTTGTGTCCCCACTTTTCTGAGTAGTATAAAGTGTTTTTTACTATATATTAGACTGATTTACTATATATTACTATACTTATTTACTATATTTATTATTTATATTATAGATTATATTATTTAATATAATATGTACTTATATTTTATATATATTATATATACTTGTATTTTATAATGTTATATAGAATTATATATGTCATATATAATTATATATTATATATATTTTTAAAGATTTTATTTATTTATTTAAGAGACAGAGATCACAAGTAGGCAGAGAGGCAGGCAGAGAGTGAGGAGGGAAGCAGTCTCCCTGCCTGCCGAGCAGAAAGCCCGATGGTACGGGGCTCGATCCCAGGACCCTGGGATCATGACCTGAGCCGAAGGCAGAGGCTTAACCCACTGAGCCACCCAGGCACCCCTATATATTATATATTTATTATTATTTACTATATATAATTCATTTACTATATATTAGACTGAGGAAAGATTCATAATCTTGGCTACAGATTGAAATCATCTAGTTCTATTAAATGGCCCAAAGGCCTGATAGCATCTTATTATAGTGGGATGTTTAGGGTTAAGACCAAGGCATCAATAATCTAAGCTTTCCAGATAATTCCATATGTGGTCAAACCTGAGACCCTATAGATCAGGCCAATTGTTCTCAACTCTGGTTACACAATAGAATCTTCTGGGCAATTGCTTAAAAATACTGATGCCTTTCCCCACTACCCATTCTGATTTATATGACCTGTTTATAAAAATTGACTACAGGAAAAAAATAAGATTTGAGTAACATATTTCTCAATGGTTGGGCTTTAGTTAATCAAGGTTTTATTATAGTTCTGTGTATCTGGTAGCATTCAGTAAATGTTAAATGGAGGTCCTCCTAATCCCAAAGCAGAGGCAAGAAGAATAAAATATGCTGCCTCTTGGAAGTAAACTGTTTGTGTATTTGAAATAATTATCTTGGCAAACTATCACTTTCTGAAAATTGTCCTCCTAGGTAATTTACCTCAAATGGTAAACCTTGTATTTTAAGAAAATACTGTATTTTAAGAAAATACTGTATTTCAAGAAAATACTGTATTTCAATTTTATTTTTTCATCATACTATTAGGCACATGTATATCTTGCCTCACTTTCATAATTCTCTTCAAGGAAATAGACAGAAAACAAGATTAAGAGACTGAGGATTAGATTTAAACCAATCTCCCACTTGGAAACGTAAATGAGGCTATTGAGCCTCTGAACCTGAAGAGTCCTACTATGTAAAATAGAGCAATGGTACTTTCTGCTTTTATAATGTAGATATATACACAAAGGACTCCTAGTCAATAAGTAGAACAAAAATGAGCTAAATGTCTCATGAAACAGTTATGGGACTAACAAAATATGTACATATAATATCTTTTTAGATTTCAGGAACTAGTAGCTAAAATAACAAAAATCTTCTTTTCAGCATAAAGTTATTGATGATTTTTTATGGCAGAAATGCTCATTAACAAAGCCCCTAAACTCGATTCTATAAATAATTAATCAGCATCACACATGTTTCAATGTGCATTAATAAAGCTAGGTGTCATATTTAATCGCTCAAATATAAACTAATGCAACAAACAGTGATTTTTTTTTGAAGATCAATGTTCTTGGTTTAAAATTTTAAAAATATAAAGCTTATTTAATTTGACTTTCCCACTACTCATTTAATTATTCTACTTGTTATTTTTTTTTCTTTTCTTTTCTTTTTAGGACCACCTCAGAAAATAGTGTCACCTAACCAAGAACATGAAGATAGGAAACATGACAAAGTCACAGATAAAGGAAGTGAAAGTGGGACTTCCTGTAATGAGCTCTCCACTTCCAGCTGTGACAGCCACTCAGAGGCCAGCACTCCCCAGGACAACCCACCCAGTGCCCAGCAGGCAACAGCTCACCAACCCAACACCTTAACATTGGATCGCCCTTCCAAAAAGGCACCTGTGCAATGGATGCCCCCACCAGACAAACGCCGAAACAGTGAACTCTTTCAGACACTCATCAGCAAGTCCCGGGAAACAAATCTATCCAAAAAGAAAGTCTGTGAGAAGCTAAGTGTGGAAGAAGAAATGAAAAAGTGTATTCAGGATTTTAAAAAAATCCACATTCCAGATTATTTTCCAGAGCGCAAACGCCAGTGGCAGTCTGAACTGTTGCAGAAGTACGGCTTATAGTAATCGTCACATTCCTGCCGTGTTTCGGTGACATTTGATGTTTACTACAGTGTTGCCGCCTGACTATATCCTAACAATGGTCAGTGTGATTCTTGCTGCTCTTCCTTTTTGTGAACAGTGGACGTGGGACAGTCTTTTCTTTCATTCTTTTTTGTTGTTGTTGTTTTTAGAGATATGATTTTGAAAAAAGAATAAAAAAACAAATGTTAATTCAAACTGGCATATCTGATTCAAACCGTTTTGCAAGAATGAAAGTAAAATGTGCATGATCAAGAAGCTTCAAATCTTGATTTTTTGAACTGTGGTCAACTGGATACGTTTGTCATTTTGTAACTCGCCAAAAACAAATCATCGTATCGCTCCAACGAAAATGACAATATGGGTGAAGTAATATCAACTAAAATGTCCGATGACGGTTTGGGGGACCCAAATCCAAACCTGTTTAAATGTTAATGCAATAAAACAAGTTATTATTTTTGCATGAACACAATGTAACAAATAAATCACAAGACGTAGGGAAGATCTGTTTGTTGCTTGGAAAGAAAAAAATTACAAAAAAATTAAGAAAAAAAAAAGTGTTTCAGGCAAAGCCTGTAAATGTAAACTGTCTAGGAGATTGATTTTATTTGTTCTGGATCTGTGATATTTTTGTGTATGTGTATGGTGTTCTGTATGTTAAGATGGTGTAAATATGCCTTATGCTGTTGTGTTATGGCACTGACATTCATCTATTAATGCTAGTCATGATTATTTCTGTGAAATGAGTCCTTACATCAGGCTGTGAAAATTGGTCTAATGATGCTCTGAAAGATTCTATTATCGTGTTAATCAAAATAATTGAGGGAAATGGTAAAAAGCTTTATGTATTTATTAAAAAAAGGAAAATATATTAGAATTCCTCAATTTCTGTTGGCTCTTCTTTGAAAATACTCAATGGTCACGTTGTCCTCCATGTTCCTTTAAAATCCCAAGCTGGAGAATGATATGTTCAACTGTAATGTTGACAAGTTAGAACTTTAACATAATTCAAAATGGATATAGAGTCCAATCCAGATAGCCCTAGCATTGATTAATAAACCCTTAACCCACAAGAGAAAAAGACTTCAGCTGAGAATGCACTAAACTTCTAGTTTGGCTGACAACCAGATTGAAAGCTGCTCTAAAAACAATTGGGAAGTTACCTCCTACAAATTAAGAGACAAAAATGTCAATAGCAAGTGGAAAGTTTAGCCTGAATGACAAAAGATTTCTTCCTGATTGCATGTATGGAAATGAGCTTTCTTACCACAGGCTATAGTTTTTGCCTCACCATCTCTACAGAAAGAAATACATAATATGAAATTTCACTAAGAAAGAGGCTGAGAGAGAAGGTAAAAATATCTTCAAGAATTGTAGAGGTCCACCTCTGTGGTGGGTTAAAACAAAAGTTGAGTAGCACTGGTATCATTTCTTTAATACTACAAGGAGATAAGCATTATTAACTCAAAAACATTTTAATCTACATACATTTTTAGGTATTCTTAGATGTCTCAATCTACTATTATATAAAATACCATCTACAGTGGACTATTAAAGAAAACACAGATATGTGATTGAGCTTGAATAAACTATCAGGCTTTCGAGAAAGAGCTACTCTCAAATTCTGCATTTCCTTTTGGGAAGGTTGGGAGTCTTTCCAAGGCCTGATGTGGCTGTAACATGCTGGTTAAATGAAAAAAGTTGGTGGTTGGATTGTCACAGATCAAATCCCACCTCTACCACTTATGACCTGTGTGATCTTAGGGATAATGGGGATGATATTAATATAAAAAAGACCTAAATGATGTAATTGAAGAAAAGCATCATTACCGCTCTTGGAGATAGAGGGAAAAGGGGAAGTGGTGGTCTTACTAGAATCCAGGAACCAAGGCTAACAAATGGAGAACTTGGAATATGGATGAACAAGTTGTCCAGTAAGAACTCTAGCCACTAAAGAGTCACGATCACTTCCACAGATGTCTCCCAAAACAAAAAGGAAGTGGAGGGAGGTGCATGATCTTAGCTTCCCAATATCCCAGCAGATGTTCTCCATTGTTCTAATATGAATGGAAACCAGTTGGTAAAGGAGCCTTGGAAATATAATTTATAGAGGTGATCCCCTTGTGATACGAAGCCCAGCAAGTGAAGGACAGCGAATAAATCTGAAAAACACTTTACACCCTGGTCTGTTTTTCCCAACATAGAACTTCAAATAGAATTGCAATGGAAGGAATTTAGTAAATGTGGACTATTTCATCTATCCTTAGGAAATAAGAACCCATTTCAATAATAGTCCATTGAACAATTACCATACACCAAGTATTTGGCTCAAAGGTTAACGACACATTCAGAAATATGAATTACCAGCTATTGCTCCTGGGAAGAAACTTATGGTCTGATTTTCCCAAACCATTATGCTTTCACCAGAGGCTAGAATCTGGCTGGCCACATTTGGGGTTACAAGGGTGTCAAGGAAGGTAGCTAGAATGGAGGTTCTTCCCTAAACAAAAGGAGACTCCAGACTTAAATATGAGTCAGGCTAAAACTGATGTATAAATCTTCTTTTCCAAAGAATCAGGAGATAAAATCTGGAGGATCGCCAAAAGCCAAAAGTGCTCAAAGTTGATGCTGAAGTTGAGTATTTATGGAGAGTAAATGTATTTTGGGGCTCACATATATACTCTTTGAGATTTATGGAGTCCACGTGGTTTACCTTTGTTTGCTACAGTAGACACTCAACTTGTGATCTGATGTCTTATTGTTGGTATTGTAAATGGAAACATATTGAGTACTAAAATCAGAACAAGATGTAAAAGTTAATTGTGAGATATTCAAGTTTGAAGTGGACTAGACCTATTTTTCCCAATTTCTCCCACTAAATATAACTAAAAACCCTATATATATATAAACACACTTAAGAGACTCTGAAAGACTGAGAGAAGAAGGAAAGGTAGGTAGAGATATTGGGACCCAAAGAACAACATGGTGATGAGTTTCCTGGGTTTTCTTTTGACCTCATATACCCCAATCTTGGAGCTGAAGAAGTACCCAGGAACCCAGAAAGAGTTTCAGGTGCAGACAAAACACACACACACACACACACACACACACACACACAGAGTCCTGCTCTCTCTAGCCACAGGGCCAAGAAAGGACAGCCTAGGAACTTAGCAAAACAGAAAAATTTTAGACAGTAACTGCTATTTAAGTTTGCAGGTAAATGGACACAACTGCATTACATAGTAATTTTAAGTCTCCCCACTTTTTAAATAAAGATTTATTTATTTATTTGAGAGAGACAGAGAGAGCAAGCAGGGGAAAAGGAAATGGGAGAGGGAGTGAGAAAATCTCAAGCAAACTCCCCACTGAGCATGGAGCCCAGGGACCATGACATTATGACCTAAGCTGAAATCAGGAGTCAGATGCTTACCCAACTGACCCACCCAGGCACCCCAAGATTGCCACTTTTTTAAAGACTTTCTTAGAGTGGTTTAAGTTCACAGAAAACCCAAGAGGAAGGTACAGAGATTGCCTACGTACCCTCTGTCCCATCCATTCCTAGCCTCCTCCACTATCAACGTCCAGCACCAGAGAGGTACATTTGCTACAATCGATGGACCCACATTGACGCATCTGATCTTTTTACTATCTACAAGGGTTTGCCTTTTCCATAACATTACATGGTCAGAATTATCTAGTATATTGACTTTTCAGATTAGCTTCTTTAAGTTAGTAAAATACATTCAAGTTTCCTCCATGTATTTTCGCAGCTGAATAGCTCATTTCCTTTGAGTGCTGTATTATATTCCCTTGTTCGGATGTCTCACAGTTTGTCCATTCACCTTACTGAATGACAACGTGGTCACTTCCAAGTTATGGCAGCTATGAATAAGCTGCTGGAAACATCCACGTACAGGTTTTTGTGGGGACGTAAGTTTTCAACTCCTTTGGGTGGATAAATGCCAAGGAATGTAATTGCCGGATCATATGGTAAGATTATATTTGGTTTCCGAAGGATCCATCAGATGGTCTTCCAAAGTAGCTGTGCCATTCTGCATTTCTGTCAGCAGCGAATAAGGCTTCCTATTGTTTCACACCTCGGCTTCGTTTGTTATTGCTGGTGTTCCAGACTTGGGCCATTCTAATAGGTTTGTTGTAGTATTTCATTGTTGTTGTTGTTGTTGTTTTTTTAAGATTTGTTTATTTATTTGACAGACAGAGATCACAAGAAGGCAGAGAGGTAGGCAGAGAGAGAGAGGCAAGCAGGCTCCCTGCTGAGCAGAGAGCCTGCTTCGGGGCTCGATCCCAGGACCCTGGGATCATGACCTAAGCCAAAGGCAGAGGCTTAACCCACTGAGCCACCCAGGCGCCCCAGTATTTCATTGTTTTTATTTGTATTTCCCTGATTACATGTAATGTGAAGTATCTTTTCACTTCCTTTTTTTTTTTTTTCCATCTGTATAACTTCTTTGGCGACATGTCTGTTAGGGTCACTGGCTCAGTTTTTAATCAGGTTGCTTGTTTTTTATTGCTAAATGTTAAGAATCCTGTGTATATTTTGGATAATAGTCCTTTATCAGACACTTCTTTTGCAAAAATTTCTCCTAGTCTGTGGCTTGTTCTATCATTCTCTGGACATTGTGTTTCACAGAGTAGAAGTTTATCATTTTTTTAAACATTTCATTTATTCATTTGAGAGAGGGACAAAGAGTACAAATGGGTCGAGGGGCAGAGGGAGAGGGAGAAGCAGACTTTCTGCTGAGTGGAGAGCCCCATTTGGGGCTCAATCCCAGGACCCCGGGATTATGACCTGAGCTGAAGGCAGACACTTAACAATCTGAGTTAGTATTTCTAAATACTGAGAAGTATTTCGTTTTTTAAAAAGTTTGATGAAGTCCAGCTTATCAATTATTTCTTTCATGGATATTGTATTTGGTGATGCATCTAAAAATTCATTATCATACTCGAGGTCACTAGGTTTTTTTCTGTGTTATCTCCAATCTAAGAGATCTGTAGTTTTTCATCCTACATTTAGGTCTGTGATCCATTGTTTTTTGGTCTGTTATTCATTTTGAGTTAATTTTTGTGAAAGGTATAAGGTTTGTGTCCAGATTGATTTTTTTGCATGTGGTTGCTCAGTTGTTTCAGAACAATTTGTTCCATTAAAAAAAAAAAAAAAGCTCCATTGTATTGCCTTTACTCTTTTATCAAAGATAAGTTGACTATATTTATATAGGTCTATTTGGGAGATCTCTAGTTTATTCCCTTGATCGATTTGTCTATGTTTTCACCAATACCACACTGTCTTGATTAATGTAGCTTTATAGCAAGTCTCGAAATTAGATAGTGCCAGTCATCTTTGTTCTTCTCCAAAATTGTGTTGGCTACCGAGTCTTTTGCCTCTCAATATAAACTTTAAAAATGGTTTGTTGATATCCACCAAAAAACACACACACAAAAACAAAAAACCCAGAAAACCTCTCTGGAATTTTTATTGAGATTGCATTGAATCTGTAAATCAAGTTAGGAAGAACTGACATCTTTGCAATATAGAGTCTTCTGTCCATGAACATGGACTATCTCTACTTATCTAGTTCTCACTTGATTTAATTAATCAGAGTAGTTTTTCTCATATAGATTTTGTACCAATTTTGTTTGATTTGTATTTAAGCATTTAATTTCGGTAGTGTTAACGTAAATTGCGGTGTGTTTTTTTATTTCAAATTCCACTTGTTCATTGCTGGTATATCAGAGCTATCCACTCTTTGAAGAATAAAATCCAAACAATCAGGTATCATATTGTAGACCATCAATAAAGTCAGCTTACCTTTCTTGAGCAACAAAGCACTTCTTAAACTTAGCAGTTTATAAACAATA